AAAATACTAGAAAATCATCTTTGGAAATAATAAAGATGAACCAAACTCATGTCTGAAATTAGAGGCAAGTCTTCTTTGTCTATAGAAGCGTATCATAGTTGATTAATAGCTCCTCTTTGAGAAGGATGAGTTTTAAATGAGAAATCTGTAAAAATATATATTTATAAAGTTTATTCATTAATATCACTGATAAATAATATAGTTATTCCATTGCTCATCACAAAATGGAAACCTCAGAATTTTTAAACTTGCAAGCATGACAGCTCCATTTGTACAAAATTTTAAAGGATACATTATTTCATGTAACCACCATAAAAAATATATATCAACCTTGGAGAGAAGATATGATGCTTTTGTCAGATTATTTCCAAGATTCACAAGGCATCTAGTTCAGAAAGTTGTGGTTAGATGCACTTGAGCCCCAAGCAATATTATTTTTCCTTTTAATGGTTGAAATATTCAGGCCCTCAGAAATTAAATGGTTTGCAAAGGTTACATTAACAGTGTCAGAGGAGACGGGCTGGCCAAATATCTCAGGATTAAAGCGCCTGTTCAGGCAGATGAAGGGGCCAGGAGTTCAATCTGGTCATGCCGACCTCACCCCCAGGGCACGCTGAGATGTTGACTGAAACTGGTAGTGGTGGCACGCACCTGTAATCCCAGCACTTGGGAGGCTGTAAACAGGAGGTTCACTATGAGTCTGATCTACACAGCAAGATCCTGTAGACCCTTTAGACCCTGTCCTAAATACAATAATAATAGTAATAATAGTGTCAGAAGAGGAATTAAAATCAGAATCTGAAACCAATTATCTGAATCTGAATTTTTAACTAAATTATATTATAAACTTACAGACATGAGAAAGAATATTCTAGAATAAAACACCTAGTATAATGAATATGGGGTATATACATGAAGATTATTAAAATACAGGCATCATTTATGGAATGGATTTAAGGTTTTTGTTTGTTCCAGTCATCCATCAAGAATTGCCCGCTTACCCTCACTCCAGTAGTATTTGCCACACAAGTGACCTAGTTGGCCCAAGCTATTTAGTACACAGATGGAATCTGACCCAATCTATGCTGGAGAAGGACTTGCCTGGATGTTCTATAGTACTGCTAAGAAAGAGACTGAAAAATCCAAACTTAGGGGTTGGTAGCCATATTCTGTTATGTGCCCTGGAAAGCAAAAATACCTAGCTTGGAACAAAAAAGAAAAACGAAGCAGCCTACAGAGAGAAGCTTGGATGAAAGTCATAGAATTCTGAGATTTGTCATGGTTTGGCTGTTCCAGATACTTAAAGATGATCTTTTTCCTTACATGTTATAAGATATCCCCTGAGCCTTAAAATACATTATCATTCACATTTGGGTTTAAGTTATTTGGGTTTCTGTTTGTCTTTTAAGTAAATTTAAAACTTATAATTACTACAGTCATTCAAGAGGCACATAGTCATAAACCAAGCATAGTTGTACACATCTGTAATCCTAGCACTGGGGGTCTGAGACAATAGGATCACAAGTTCAAGGCAAGTGTATACTATATCATGAGACATTGTACATTTCTCAAAGAAAGGTACATATTTAATCTTTGTCTGCATTTACCTGATTTAAATCTAGAAGCTTTGTGTATTTACAAAATAAAATGGAGAATTAGAACAGCTATCCAGATTCTGAAATACCTAAGACAAAAATTTTCAAATAAAAATGTGTGAGTAAACACATGAGTTTAACACCCAAAAACACATTGATTAAATCCATATGATGTCATACAAAGTCAGAAGAAATTGTAACCTTCAGTCTTACAGAGAAATATTATGACGGAGGTTTTGGTGAATTGTTATGACTGAGTTTGGTTAAATTTTTTCCATGCATAAACCTAAAGGTACAGTTGCATTCCATGAAACTTATCCAAACAAACCAGCTAGAATGTGGGATGATCTCTTGCCTTTTTCATCAACATTAACTCATAGGACATCAAGGACTAGCACTGTGTGGGCACTTGTCATCCATCCTTTATAGCTGAAAAATATTCCCTGCTACAGGTATGCAGAGGCATACTCAAGTATGTCTTCCCCTAAAAACCTGTATGTAGATAGATATATTTCCACTCAGAATTCCATGAGCAGAAGAGGTCTGGAAAAAAAAATTCTAGTCATTCTTTTTACAGTAACTGTTTATATAAGTATTAACTATTTTTGACATGACATGTCTTCTCACTAAGATACAGTCTTCTACTTAGTATTTCACAAAGTATTTGCAGCATCTGAGAAATTATTAATAGTGAAAATTATCTGACTCAAGGGCTATAAGTTAGAACCTCTGAATGCAGGCCAACAAATTCTAGTTCTGCTAAATATTAGATTCTGATGGGGGTAAGGTTAGGGTTAGGGTATAAAAAATAATAATAAATACATAAACAAATATGAAACTTTCAGAGCCCTGCTACAGGACAAAAAAGGCTCATTCATGATGTTTTGGGATAAGACATATATGATGCACAATGGGAATGTTTAGGTTTACTTGTCTGAATGATGCGACAACCAAGCTCATGTAAGCAAGTATTTGACTATGCCTGTTTTTTCATAGCATGCCTGATCACTATATTATGCTTGCATATATTATACATGGGAGAGTGAACTATTTGGGTATTACATTGGTTAGTACAATATGACTCTAATGTTGAAAACATTCCATTCTTAGAGTATTCTTTCTCATTTTCTCAGGCAATTACAAAGAATGATTCGGTTGCCCAGGTGTCTTATTCAATAATTGAATTGTAAATAATAGCAAAGTATTCCTATTTTATAAATGATTTTTAACTTGCACTTATTGAGTGAGATACGTGCTATTCACTTGGACATTGATTACATTAATCACTGAATTATATTTTGGAGAAATCATGGAAATAATTATAATATTTACCAACATTCCACTTTTATGTTTCTAAGTGACTCCACCTTGTTACAGGAAATTGTGTTTTCTTTAAATACCTTTGAAATTCTGACATATCAAATTTGCACAAAATCTGAAAACAGATTTTAAATATTGATTTCCAATGAGTTATAAAAATTTGTATTTCAAAACTCAACATTCACACTAAAGAAATATTTTTATTTTGCAAATTACCTCTTGTTTTTTGATAATATGGTATTCCTCAGACTTCTATTTGAAAGTATATATTTAAATACAACTGTATCTATTCTTTGGCTTTGGTGATTATTCACTTGTATTTAGCACTAGCTTTTCAGAACTATTTTCACTCTGTCCTTCAATCTCTTCTTCACCCAAGTACTTTAAAAACACATACGGAAATAAGATGGACTATTTAAAGAACTTTGTTCATCCAAATGTACTGTTTTATAATAGCACTTGTATACTTTGATTTATCTGTCTCTAGGCTCAAAATGTATTGTGTTGGCTTAGAATATGGGAAATGGGAATTTTATATTTATGCAAATCTCTCTGCAGCATGATCAAGATTTTATAAAAATTTAGCATATATATGGGAATTTTCATTAGATACTACACAACAAAATTTTATGATGATATTTCCTTATATCTTTGTAAAGCTTACTACTTTAGACATTTCTAAAAATACATGAAAATTTCAGTTTTGATCTCTTTTTTTTTTGTATTTTAGAGAGGGTTCTACAGGGTGTTCAGAGTCTCACTACTAAATTGGACTTGTAGTGATCTGCCTGTTTACAGCCTCCCGGGAGCTGGGATTATAGGCACGTGCCAACACGCCCAGTTTCAATTGCTGTCTCAGTGTGTCCCAAGGGCAATGCTGGACTGCAGGCCCCAGGGATTGAACCCCTGGTCCCTGCACTTACTTGCAGGTGCTTTAATCAACTGAGATATTTTGCCAGCCTCTAACTTTTTTCATTCCCCTCAAAAGTACTGTATGGGAGAATTCAGGGTCCTCATTATGAGGGACATCCTAGCTATTTGTAGAAGACAGGGGGCCTGCCCCATAGCTCAGTTCTTTCAGTGGCTGCTTCAACAAAGCAGTCAGGCTCAGGTTGCTGTGGTTCGATCCCCACAACTCAAGCCAGCCAAACCTGCCCTGAAGACATTCGGAGAAAAAAAAAAATCCTTATTCCTTTGGGGCCGGGAGATGGCTCAGTGGAGTAAGCGCTTCCCTGGCAAGCGCAAGGGCCTGAGTTCAATCCCCGGTTCCACCAAAAATAAAATAAGTAAATAAAACCGCTGTCTATTTGTAGACAACTATTCTCACTAAAGTTGCCTCTTTCTTTTAGCAGAAGTTATTATGTCTGTGGCTATCTGTATTTTGTTTATGTTGTCATAAAATATCTACTCCTTATCTCTGAAAGTACGAATTGTATTCAAGTTTGTATACTTAGTTTGTCAGGAAAATAGTGACTCACTTCATTATGAATTTTTAAAATAGCATGAAAAAATCTACAGAACTTTAATAAATGCTTAGCTGTGGCTCATTAAGGTCATTAGAATTATAAACCTCTGAATGTTCTCATCTGTGTAACAGGTCAACATAGAACTGATTTTGCCCTTCCATGTGTATGAATACAATTCTTGCAGTTAAAACTCTTTGCCCATAGGTGGTGCTAGAAAGTTTAATATTTATTCCAATAATTGAAATTACTGGAAAATGAGGGGGAAAAAAAAAAGTTAAAATACTTTTTCGAAAAGAAAATAAATGGGGGCCTGCCCCTTAGCTCAGTTCTTTAAGTGGCTGTTTCAACAAAGGAGTCAGCCTCAGGTTGCTGTGGTTCGATCCCCACAACTCAAGCCAGCCAGTCCTGCTCTGTATGTATTCAGAGCAAAAAAAAAAGGGGGGTGGTCAAGGAGATGGCTCAGTAGAATAAGCGCTTGTCTGCAAGCACAAGGATCTGAGTTTAATTCCCGGTTCTGAAAAAAAAAAAAAAAAAAAAACCCAAAGAGTATTACTGTACAATACAAAAATTAACAATTATTTCATGGATTGATTGATTGACTGATTGATTGATTTTACAGCTTTGTCTAAGACAGTTCGACTGGTTGACGGTAGCAGTCCTCACCAAGGCAGAGTGGAGGTCTTCCACCAGGGTCAGTGGGGCACCATCTGTGATGACCACTGGGAAATACGGGCTGCATCCGTCATCTGCCGAAGTCTGGGATACAAAGGCGTTCAAACCGTGCACAAAGCAGCTTATTTTGGGAAAGGTAATTTAAAGAAAACCTGGCTTTAACAAAAAAAGGGAAGAAACACAAAGGTGCTCTAATGGGATGAACTAAGTGGGGACAGGAATGTGTAGGAAGGTAGAAAATTCCCTACAGGGTTTTTTCAATAGTCTTTCCTAGAAAGGAGAAATATAAAGTGTCGGATTCCACTGATCTCTTGGTGTACACCACAGAGGGGAGAAAAGTGTGGCAGGAAGGAGGAAAAGACAAAGAAGACAAGGGCTGGGTCAGGTGATGGCCCATTGCTTGATTGGCAAACTGTGCCCAACAGCAGTAGGGGCGTTTATTTAGAACTTTAGAAGTTACTATCGTCATGTGCCACACTGTTGCCTTGTGACTAATAGCAGACATTAACCAGACAGGATGCTGTTCTCACAACCGAGGTAAGCTGACTGCTTCAGGCACTGAGACCAAGTCCTACTCTCACACATTTGGCCAATTTCCAGCTTCAGCAGCTCCCAACAAAAAAGAAAAGAATATTATAGTAATTGTGTATGCTCTCTGACAACCTGCGATGTTTAAATTTCCCTTAGACTTAACTTAGTTGGTGAATATCGATGTAGAATCAGGCAGACAATGAACAGGGACAAGTGGGTTACTGCCAAGGCACTGTCACACCCTGGGCGGCTCAGCCTGTGCAACAGCGATGGGAGAGCAGCTGAGCCATCTGCGTGATCCCTTACACTCGTCCTTCTGTGGAACTAGAAAAGAAGGTGCCCACCTTTGTTTTGACATCCCCAGGAGGTCTCCAAGACAGCAGGCCACTGTTCAGCCTCTCTGGTGCTCCTGTCTTTGTTAACCACAACAACAAACCAGGAAAGGGAAAAGCAATGGACTTCAGCACCCACTCCTGGCTGATCCCTTTTTAGCGAAGAATCAACAAAAGCCAAATGATATTCTCTTCTCAATTTGAGATTGACCAAAAAATAAATAATTAATTAGGAATTTGTGTATATATTCACTTCAAAGACTCAGGCACCTGTTCTATGAGTATTAAAAGGGCTACAGAGAAAATTTGCAGGCGACAAAATATCTAAGTGTCTCTCCATGAAACTTTTACTATGGGCTTTTCTCTAAATTGCCATGTTTAAATAGACTTTATGTATAATTAAACAGATACTTCAATTTTGAATGAGAAAGAGATTAAGTAAAGGTAGTCATATGCACACTTTTAATCAATATATCCTACTTACATTATTCTCCAAAACTGATAGTTTCTTTGAACTTATTGCTAACAAAAATTAAGTTGATTTCATAAATGTTATAAATCTAGATAAATATGAGGAAGCTGGAAAAATGGAGAGAAAAGTGCATGAAAACCATAAAGATAAAATAGCATTTTCAGATAATCTTATCTACAAATAACATTTCCAGACAATCTTATCTATAAATATTTATAAACAGGCAAAATAGGAGAATATGTCAAATCACCATATCAAAAGATTGGAATAAGATATTATAGATTTTCTTAACTGCCTAAAACTTAAGTGGGTCAGGCAAGATAGCTCATCAGACTACAGTGCTTGCTTAGGCAAGCTTAGGCAAGAGCATGGGCTGCAGCTAGATCCCTAGCCCCACATTCCCCACCAGCTCCTGGCTGAGCCTGCCACAGAGTCCTGGCATAGCGACCACTCCTGAAATCGCAGTGCTGAGGAGGCTGAAAGCAGGAGGGTCACCATCTGAGCTGCATAGTGACATTCTGTAGCAACTAAATACATTAAAAAACAAGATAGTTATATTGTGCCTCAAGTTTGTAAATAATGACTATAGGTTAGACATTACATTAATACCCAAATAATATGGATAATAGGACCTACTCATAGTCTTTAATCTTTTACTTAAATGAATTTTGGTGTCAAATATGAGGCATAGATGTAAGCAGAGATCTCTGGCTCTAACATTTTTGGAGCTGTGAGAACATGGAAATTTTATGAAAAGACTAAACACAATAGAACAGTGAATATGCATTCTGTACCTAGGCCAAGATCTTAGAGGTTTCAAATTTTTCTACCACTTTGAGCTCTTCCAAACTTTATTCTCAAAACTGTGAGCCTAAAATCATTCTTGTACTAAAAATTTTACCTTGTAAAGTGAAATTTTTAAGGTTCATAAGGATTTTCCACAGAGGAAAAAAAAAAAAAGGAAGCAAATAACATAGTCACTCATAATGGTTAAGACTGAGAATGGGCTAGGGAGATAGCTCGGCTGTCTAAGCATCTGCCTGGCAAGTCCAAGGACCTGGGTCTGAGCCCCGGTACTGCATGCCCTGATGGCCCAGCCCAGAGCCAGCTACTGTAACCAGGTATGGTGATGCATGTGCACGCCTATAATCTATCCCAGGGCTGGGAAGGCTGAAACGAGAAGATCACTATGAGTCTGAGCTACATAGTGAGAGCCTGTGCCAGAGAGAGAGAGAAAGAGAGAGAGAGAGAGAGAGAGAGAGAGAGAGAGAGAGAGAGAGAGAGAGAAACAGCTGCTAACCTAAGCTTCCACAATGATGAGGAGGAAGAAAATCCATTTCTATGATAACTAAAAATCCATACAATGAGGCTATTTACTTTAAATATGAACTGTATAAAACATTTCAAGTGATTGTTATTGTCCATATAATAGATGTCTGCAGCTCTAGCGGAAGACATACAGTTCTTACCCATGGTAATTTATTCACCTGGTACATAGTAAATAGGACTTCTATTTTGGAATAATGGATAATTTAAGAATCTCAGAATATGTTTTGGGTGCAAAATAAATATAATGCTTACCAATTGTTCAGATAATTTGTCACAAGAGAAGAAAAATATTCTAAAATAATGTTAATCCAGATAAATTCTTTTGTACTTTAAGTCAGTGAGAGTTGACCATTCTGTTTTTAGGTTAGTTTATTTAAGAAGCAAGTTTAATAGTACAGCTTATTAACCCTTAGTTTCCAAGGCAAACATTTCATGAATTACATAAACAAAACCAAATTCAGAGGGGAAAAGAGTTTTTGTGCTTTAACTGAGGGGAAACCAATGAGCTTTGGCAGAATATAGTACAAGGTACCTGAGCTTTATTGTTTTTTGTCTGAGCATGAAATCTTGCCCTGGACTTCAAAGATAGTTTTACTAGGAGTTCCTTGCAATGCATAGTTGCAAGTTCCTGTCTTCAGATTGCATCAGCTTTTAAGGACCATTCTCCTAAATGAAATACTCTTATTAAAACCTTCTACTCCATCCTTCTTAAATCTCTAGGAGTTTTTAGTCCAGACCACTGACAAGAAAGGATAAAAGGAAGTGTCCTCAAATACCAACCAGAAAATATTTTTCTAGTTCAATAAGGATTGAAGCAGTAGGGCCTAGCCTTGTGTGAAATTATGTGCTGAGCTTTGTAAAACTTCGTAAAATGTGCTTAGGTTTTCTTGACATAATTGACTACTTGTCTAATATGGTTAATTTTTATGAGGCTATGTGCTTAGAGTGGAGTTCCTATACATTGTCTCAGTTCTCTTATAATGAAATGGTAGTGTATCAGATTTTTAAATTTCCCTCTCACATTTGGGGGCATCTAGTGAAGCCATTTGGGATGACTATGAGTTGTATATCTAAGAAGATAGAAATTAAAATCTTAGCTCTGGTGTTTAAGTCTCAGAGTTTCAATTGTGAGAGAGAGCGAGAGAGAGAGAGAGAGAGAGAGAGAGAGAGAGAGAGAGAGAGAGAGAGAGAGAGAGAGAGACAGAGAGAGACAGGGACAGACACAGAGACAGAGACGGAGACGAATGGATAGATGGATAGATAGACAGACCACTTCAATCTAAAGGGCAGTAACGTATGGAAACTGTCCACAACAAAGCCCAGGTGTTGCTCAGTAGCGAAAGATTTCCCAGTTAGCAGCCAGAGCATGGGTAGAAGAAACATGCACCAGGGTTTACATGCATTGCAAGCTTATTTTCCATTCTCCTTGATAGCAGAGTCAGGAATGTATTCCAGTGTTACTGACACGCATGATATTTCGAAGACCAGAAAGGTAACTGATTTTCTGTTACACAGATGTGTGAAAGGAACTCCCATAGTCTCCTAATCCTACTCAGTATTTACCCAGCTTGTTTCAGTTTTCTGCTTATAGTTCAATATCAAGCAGTGAAAGAATACGTAGAAGAATATTTATTTATTTATTGATTTGGTACAGGTTCTCACGATACAGTTCAGACTTGTCATCCTCCTGTTTTCAGCCTCCCCAGCACTGAGACTACCAACATGTATCACTACACCTAGTCTTGGTGGCTGGCTCAGCATGCCTGGAGTGGGGCCCACTTAGCATGCAGTGCCCAGGATCGAACCCCAGTCCCTGTGTTTGCCTACACAGGCACTTAGTCCACTTAACTATCTTGATGGCAAAATTAGGAGGATTTTAAATGATAAAGTAGTAAATGTATTCATTCTAAAAGGAAGTTTTTTTTTTTTAATTTCATGATCAGCTTCATTGAGTATACTTTAAGAGACATGCTTAAATTTTAAACAGCTTTGGGATTAGACTTGGCAAAGTTATTTAGATTCCTTCTTTTTCTATTCTTGCACCTTTAATTTACAGTTTTACCATGGAGATGGGAAAAATGCAATTTTGAATGAGAAATACATACATAAAATAACTTAGAAATATGAGTGCATTGGTTAGGAAAGTAAAAGGGAGTAGGAATTAAACTTTTAATTATTTATTATTTTCTTTGGAAAATGAGAATCAGATTAATATTATATGATTCATAATTACCAAAATTGGAACAAAATGGGAAATCTAAATGTACTCATTTGTTATAATTCTCCACTACAAAAAGAACATAATTTTTGGACACAGTAGCAACACCTCCTCCTCTTTACTTTTTTGGTTTTAAAAAAGCAAACCTGGCTTACTAGAGATAATCCTTGTTAGCTTTAAGAACAATTAGTTTTGCAGCTGCAAGCAAAATGATTTATTGGAATAAAGTTTAAAGCAAGCTCCTTTAAATAGGT